AGGCTAGAAATATAAAATAAATCAAGAGAACGTGAACGACACCGGCAGCCATCTTGGCGCGCATAACACGTCTTAATTCTTGCTCTCGGACGTTCTCTTTCACGTTCTGCTTGAGTTAAAACCTGTCTTGAAAACGTTCTATCAACTTAACTTGACACAGCAAAAGAAATGAGTTTACATCTCTTAAATCCCGGCCAGCAAAGATGGCATCCGTGAGCTTGCCCGTTCGGGATACTTTGAGACTCCCCTCCCCTTCCCCCTCCCCCAGAGTCTGTACGGACGGACGCTTGCTCGTTTCCACGCTCGTTCACTTGTACGGTGAGGTCATAATCAAATGTTATCGGCTTGATGGTTTAACCGTACCAAAAATCCGTACCTGTGGTGATCCGCCAGTGCGATTCTCGCCCTCCAGCTCCGGTACTAACTCAGGATTGTCACAAATTACATGTCGTATCGATCTTTTATAGCTTTTGCTCTGGACAGATTTTAAGCTTCATCGTTCCTTCATCGTTCCTTCATCGTTCCTTCATCGTTCCTTGAGTTCTCCAGATGTTCTTATTTGTCTCTGCGTCCATTTCAAGGTCCATAGGCCGGCAAATCAAGCGCCCTTTTCAATCCAGTCTCTTAAAGTTGATTGAGCTCAGAGTCTGTATCACTGGCCAAAGCTTGCAGCAATACGACTTCTGCTAGCGCGTGACAATTTTCGGAGTACTATGGAGTGTTCACGTTATATGTGTTATTTGCCAGCTGGGAGGTCTGTTTAGTGAAAAACTGTGACTGAGGTCTTGAAAATGCTGCCCGAGGCCGCAGGCCGAGGACAGTATTTTCAAGCCCGATGCTATCAGTCGTTGCGAATCACTCGAAATCAGACTTTCTACCGTAAATTGAGTAGCAGAAAGCGAGGAAATCCGTTAAGTGTATTCCACAGAAATTCTCTTAAATACAGCAACGATCAGAGAGGTAAACTCCACTGCAATTGACTTTTTTTTTCTTTTTTGGCGAGAGAAACACGAGATTACGCGCCATTACAGCGCTGAGCTACAAACAACCAAACAAACTCTCCCAACTTCAAAATACTCAATCGAATTTACTTACAGTGACTCTCCTTGCGATTTAAAAGGAAATAGAGATAAACCTGCATTGAATAATCGTCGATGGAAGTGTAAAAAGCAAAGGTTGACGATTACCGCTAGTTCACTCACGAAAATTAACCAACACAACAATTTCACCCGCGCTGTTTCCCGCCGTTACCGTGACCGCGCGTGGTCAGAGATAGGAAACTCCGAACCGCGCTAAGAGCCAATGAGATTGTAGGGTTGGTTTACCGTGCCCTCTTGGGAAAAAATAAACTTTTGGTTGGATAATTAGACATGATTAGAATTGGAAACTCGCGAGGGTTTCGACAATAGCCCGTATGCATGAAGACATCAGACAAGCAAATTCAAACCACCAAGCCTCGCTTTGAAAATTTTATCGTGCACAAATTCCCAAAATAGCAAAGATAATTTCGCACAAGCGAGGGTTGGCGGTGAAGTATTGGTACGTGATGTAATCATGCTTAAGCTATAAGAGCTATTGTCAGTTGGGATTTTTAACCATCTCAAGTAGGTTTATTTCAAATATTTGTTCATTTCAAATATTTACTTTGCTGGAGTGGCGTGTCTGAAAATTAGCTAGCGTATTTTAGCTCGGGGCCAAGTGTATTTACCACGATAATAAAAACTTTATGACTATTCTTTTTTATTCCTCTCTGAAAAGGCCGTGGAAAAACGAGTGAACGAGCAAGGCAGCAAAGTCGCATGGGATCCCAGCGGGGATTTATACTTTTGGCATAACAGGCCCCCTTGTATTCAACACCCGGAGACAGGAGAGAAAATCTGGTTCAACCAGGTAACTACTCATAATTGTTCGTACTACCGGCTATTTCCGGGGGGGACTGAGATTCCCGATCACAAACAGCCTTGTCACACTTATTATGGGGATGGCAGCGATAT